AAAATTTTTTTCTAGTATTAACAGTTTTTGTATGTTCTATCTCAGGAAGTAAAGCCTCATCCATGGATATCCAGAGATGACTGAAGTTACATCCCAATATATTTAGAAGGCACCAATTTGGGGAAGGCAACTCTAGGCCTTAAGGTAGAGCTGTTCTTGCAAAGGAGAATTTCTGAATGGATCTTGAACCTTGTTTTTACAAAACAGATGTAAGACTATTTGTTTCAAAGGGCTGTACCAAAATGCCCAGAGTAAATGCCCTCAATAGGTTCAATATCTTGGATGGCTTTCAAGGTTTGGACTAAAATCCATTGTTGATTCATTGGGTCACCAGACACTACTGGGTTTTCCCATTTCCCATTTTGTTTAATGGCCAGCATGAGTTTAAAAGTCAGTTTTCCATATCCACAGATTCTGCATCCATGGATTCAACCATCCATGGCTTGAAAATATATATATTTTTAAAAAACCAAAAAGCAAAACTTGATTCTGCCATTTTGTATAAGGGGCACCATATTGCTATGCCATCATACTTAATGAGACTTGAACCTCCATGGATTTTGTTCTCCATGGTGTTTGTGTGTCTGTGTGTTTATATGTGTGTATGTCCTGGGACCAAACGCCAGCGGATACCAAAGGTCCATTGTATATTGCCACAATCATAGTGGGAAAAGGTGACTGCTGCTTTTAAAAGGGGGTTGTCAATAGACGTGTATGTAAAACAAATTGGTAAGATCAAATTCCTGCTTGAATTGCAAGATTTAACCCTGCCTCGTGGCTGAGGAGCAAGGCTGATGACAACATTTTTTCCTTCAACATCACAGCTGTGGTCTCTCTTCTGAACAGTTCCCTCCTCTCCCTGCGTATCTTCTTGCGCCTTCCCATTCCCTGCACATTCCGGCTGTCAAAAGGAGCCACCAGCCCTGTTGAAAGCTGTACTGAGCTAAATGTTTTTCATCATTTTTCCCCGGAGAGTTTTTCCGCTCCCTCAACAGCAGGAAACTCATCCCAAGAAACCCCAAGGGACTTTATCTGGCAAGGAAATAGCTGGCCAGGGTATTTATTGTTGTTCGACTGTGTGTGGGAACAACTTACAAAGGAGGGGCAAAGCATTGTTTCCCTTGAGGACTAAAGGGAGGAAATAAAATTTCAGGATAGTTAGTGCTGGAGGTGAAATATGCTATTCAGAAAAAGTCATGGTTTTGGACAACAACTCCCACAATTCTTAATGCACATTGTAAAATTTCCAAGTTCTGATGTGCAAGTCTCTCTCTCTCTCTTTATCCATTATCTTCTTTTTATCTGCTTAAACATCCATAGTCATCTATCTATCTATCTATCTATCTATCTATCTATCTATCTATTCCAGCTGGAATAGTGTGGCCACAAGCATGTTGAAAAATAAAGAAAATAAATAAATAATAAAAAAGGAAACAAAAAAAGAGGAATCATGACACTCAGAAAGAGGAGAAACATGGGGAGACACAGGTTTCCACAGTAGTTGTCTATACTGTTTTCTATGCATAGATGCACATTAGAAATAATGATTTACCATTTATGTCTAGGGTAGGGTAAAACACAGCTCTGGGACTAGACGTGGCCTCCAGGAATGGTTTTGGTGGTGGTTCTCCTCTCCTTCTAGGCTTTCTAGCTTACCAGTAGCTTTTATTTTGGCTAAAAAAAAAGAGAGAAAAGAATGGGAGAGAGGCTGAGAGAAAGAAGAGGTGCATTTCCTTTCTAAAAGCCTTCAAGAATAGCAGTTCTCCTTTTCAATGGGTTGCAGGTATCATTACATTCTAATTTTTAAAAAGGTGTTAATATTTAAAATGTGTTAATTAAAAAAAAAGTTTTGCAGAAACAGTCTTCCAGTCAGTTGAAGGTTCACTTTTGGCCACCTATGCTGCTGGGCTGCCCTCCAGGTAGTCCCAGGGCAGAAAATTATCCCCTTCACCTACCACAGTTGCATTCCCTTGATTTAAATATAGCTATTCTATCTTCTGCCATAATAAGGAAGAACAGTTGATTTCTGTGCCTGTTTAGTCTGATGCCCAAATATTGATGGGCAGCAATTCCAAGCCTGCTAATTTGCCTTTTTAAGATTCTTTATCTTTTAACTGGACTTGAACTGGGCAGTCTAAAAGAGGGCTTCAAAAGGAGGACAGCCCCCTACAAGGAAGGACATGTGGCCCTCCTAAAGTAGACAAGAAGCAGATATATCAGACACAAGCATTTTAAGATATTCTTAGGCTTGAGTATCATCATTACTAAACTGTGCATTGGAAGACTCTGAAGTACAGATTTTGTTGTCTTATGCATCTGGCTTCTTACCATCAGGAAGTTCTTCCAAATGTTTAAGTGGAATCTCTTTTCCTGTAGTTTGAATTCATTGCTCTGTGTCCTAGTCTCTGGAGTCGCAGAACACAAGCTTGCTTTGAATGTGACATCCCTTCAAGTACTTATACATGGCTGTCATGTCTCCTCTTAACCTTCTCTTCTCCAGGCTATACATACCCAACTCCCTAAGATGCTCCTCATAGGGCATGATCTCCAGACCTTTCACCATTTTGGTCACCCTCCTTTGGAAACACTCCAGCTTGTCAACAGCCTTCTTGAATTGTGGTGCCCAGAACTGGACACAGTATTCCAGATGAAGAAAAGGTACTTATGCATATATAAGTATTCTTTCATATGCGGCTGTACTTTGGAGGCTGTGGTATAACATCTGTATTCAGTACGCAGTTGCCTCAGTTGTGTTCTTCAAATATAGCTGCTGTAGATTCAGTTGTACATTCTTGGATGGTGCTTAACTATCCAACAGGGCCTTCAGTGTACCACCTGATTCACTGGGATAGCTGAAAAAGCAAGCCTATTTACAGATACAAAATTGGTTGCACAATGTTGGTATTCAGCAGAAGGGTAGTGTAGCACAACCACAACTTGTTGTCGTGTATCTTCAAGTCATTTCTGACTTAATGGTGACACTAAGGCAAACATATCATAGGGTTTTCTGGGGCTGAGAGTGTATAATTTACCCAATGTGCCACCCCCAGTAGGTTTCCATGGTTGATTGGAGAACTGAACCCTGATCTCCAGAGCAGTAGTCCAATACTCAAATCACTACACCACGCTGGCTCAATTACATGAGTGCAAATTTGCAGTGTGGAAACACAGTGTATATCTCAGACAACATTTTAAAATACCATTCCACCTTACAGGGTTTTGGTAAGGATTATAACACGATAATGCACAGGACACAGTTTGAATGCTCTGTAGTTCTGTATGAATGATAGAATCAATAATGATAAAGTCAAATGGCTGGGTTATGTTTATAATCCACTGAGAACTTTAAGGACCTCATATTGAGTGCAGATGCTGCAGTACTTAATAGAAGTTATTTTTCTAAATAAATGTGACCTGCAGTCCATGATAAGGAGGATACATTGTCCCCTAGTCTCCTCCAGATTTGCCCCCAAGAGAAAGCATCAGCTGTAATACCACTTAGCCATTTAACATGTCACAGAATGACATTGGCAGATGTTCTATGAATGTTTGGTACACTCGATCAGAAGGGAAATGATAAAGCCATGATAATTCATTCTTTAGATTGGCTCAGAACAAAACAAAACACGGGCCAATTTCTTTCCCTTTTAAACCCATTCCCTTTGCATAATTCATTCCACTTCTGAGAATTTAAAGGTTTTATTTTGACTCCCCCAAGACCTTTCAATTATTTTATCAGCTATTGGAGTGGCAAGGTGGTGAAGGATGGAAGGAGAAAAGAGCCCAAGACAAAAGATTGTTATGAGTACGCATGTTGTGTGTAATGAAGTCAGGGAAAAGATAACAGGAGCTTTAGAAAAGGAGTTAAGTCTGTAAGATACTAAAGACTTCTTGATCGTGAAAAGCTGTGTGGAAACTTGCAAGAATAACTAAAACCTCACCTTCAAAATGTTGGAGAAGTTGTGACAGGAAAGGGAGTAACATCTACATTTGGTTTAAACAGTCCACGGTAAATGAATTCTACATATGATAGTGCTGTAACTACATTAGTTGTATAGCTAAGTAGTGTCTCCCAGCCTGAACCCTTGAAACATGGAATCATTGAATCATAAAGTTGGAAGAGACTGACATAGAGTTGGAAGAGAGCCAGCCCAGCCCTCTGCCATGCAGGAAGACACATTCCTCTGTGTCTTCCAGCCTTTGTTTAAAAACCTCCAAAGAAGGAGACTCTGCCACACTCCAAGGCAGCATATTCCACTGTTGAACAGCTCTTACCCCCAGAAAGTTCTTCCTAATGTTTAGGTTGAATCTCCTTTCCTATAGCTTGAATCCATTAATTCTAGGGCCTTTGTAGACTGCTAGAAATAGTGCAAATTGAGTCCACTTTAACTGCCCCGGCTCAGTGCTAGGGAATCATGGGAATTGTATTTTTTCCTGAGACATTGAGCCTTCTCTTTCAGAGAGCTCTGGTGTCACAATAAACTACAGTTCCCATGATTCTCTAGCACTGAGTCAGAGCAGTTAAAGTGGACTCAATTTGCACTATTTCTGGCAGTCTGCAAAGGCCCCTAGTCTCTGGAGCAGGAGAACACAAGCTTGCACCATCCTCAATATGGCATCCCTTCAAATATTTAAACATGGCTATCATGTTGTCCCTTAAACGTCTCTTCTCCAGGCTAAACCTACCCAGCTCCATAAGCCACTCCTGATAGAGTATCGTTTCCAGAACTTTCATCATTTTGGCCAACCTCCTTTGGACATAAATCTTGGATTACCTTTCTTGTCATAGCTACATGTTCTGAGATTACTAGATACGAGAAGACTGATGAGTTTTCAATGGACAATTGGTGGATAAGAGTTTGGGATACTATCCGACTGATGGAAAAGTTTTCAGACAACTTAAGACCAACCAAAGGAGAAAAAGAACAGAATGGTTTTGTTGAAAGATTGTGTATTTTTTATTGTGTTCATAAGTACAAATTCATATCAACTGAGAAAGAGTCAGCATGGTGTAGTGGTTTGAATATTGGACTATGACTCTGGAGACCAGGGTTCAAATCCCTGATCAGCCATGGAAACCCACTGTGTGACCTTGGACAAGTCATACCCTCCAGTCTGAGAGGAAAACAAGGGCAAACCCTCTCTGAACTAATTCTGCTAAGAAAACTCTATGGTAGGTTTACCTTATGGCCTCCATAAATCAGAAATGACTTGAAGGCACACAGTAACAACAGTCAACTCAGATCACCTCTGTACCATAGTGGGCCCTGAAAGGATTGGATATTACTGGCTGATATGTCCACACCTACTATGGAAGACTCTACTCCTTCTACAGAGTAGGCTTCAGACTGTTCCTAATTAAGGTATTTTTCTTTGTGGTTTTGGAGTTTCAGAGTTTTCTCTTGCTTTGGTTTTTGATGTCCAGTGCTGCTGTTCATTTGCTGGTTTTTTTTAAAAACTTTAGCGGATTCAGGGTGCATCTACACTGTAGAAATAATGCAATTTGACACCACTTTCACTGCTGTAGCTCCAGCCTATGGATGTGAGTTATAGGGGGGAAGCAGATGGGCAGCCGTGGGCCACCCTGGGAAGCTGCGGATTGGGGCCGAGGTAGCCGCACTCCTCGGCCCCAATGCGCCGCATCCCAGGCCCAGGAAGGAGTGCTAAAATAGTGCTCCTTCCACAAGACACTGAAGGTGTGCCGCAAAAGGCCTTGGGCACACCTTCGGCGCCTCTTCTGTTGCAGTGTGTGCAGACACTGCAGCGGAAGTGTGTCGTCAGAGCGCCGGCCGTGCATAGCGATGGGCGCTCCGATGATGTATTTGGGAAGGGGTTGGGGCGCCCAGCGTGAGGTTGCCCCTCCCTTTCCTGTCCTCGAAAACAGCGCTTTGCGCTGTCTGCTTAAGCCTATAGTTTTATGCCATTAGCCTTCTTTACCAAAGAGAGCTAGTACCTACAAATCCCAGGATTCTGGAGGATGGAGCCATTGCATATATCAGCCCTGGTGGCGCAGTGGTTTAATGCCTGTACTGCAGCCACTCACTCATAGACCACAAGGTTGCGAGTTCAATACCAGCCAGGGCTGAGGCTCGACTCAGGCCTGCATCCTTCCGAGGTCGCTAAAATGAGTACCCAGCTTGTTGGGGGGCAATCAGCTCACAGTTGTAAACCGCTTAGACATCCCATAGCGCGATATGAAGCGGTATATACATAAGCTGCTTTGCTTTGCAATTAAAGTAGTGTCAAACTGCATTATTTCTACAGTATAGATGCATTTGTGTGGGGTTTTTCTCCAAATGGTTTGAGGACTTGTGTCACCTTCTGTGCAGTACAGTGCTGTACTGTGCTTCTTCCCTGACCTGAGCAGATATGCATAGGGTTGTGCTTTAAACCTGCTAAAATAAGGTTCAGCTTCAACTATAAGAACTATGATCCAAACAAAAATCTGATATTTGGAAGATCTCCACCATGTTTTTCTGTGTTCTAGAATTTGAAGAAAGCATTTTAGCCTGAGAAATTCCAGCTTGGAGCTTTGAAAAAACAAAACAAAACAAAAATCTCTCTCCCTTATTCCCAGTGTCTGGGAATGACATAGATTGTATGGGCAATGAAAAGGGAAGCTAGCAGTAAAGCAATGGAAACAGGGTCAAATGAGAATAACAACCCTCCACTAACCTAAGAAGGGGAAAAAATCCATTAATTACCACAGCCTTGTGAAAGATGACTGAAAGACAGAGGTGGGACAAAACTAGAGATGACACCACTATGCCTGGAAAAGGCAGCCAAGCAATACACCCAGAAAAAAAAAGACATTAAAATGATTTATGCACAAACTAAAATAAAACATTCTTGGATACTCAAGAGCCTCTTATTCATCATTCGCATCCAAAGAAAGGATAGGGGTGATCTCCACAGAGGAATCAGAATCTTTCAACCAGTTTCTGATAGCAAGTTCTTTTTTCTTTACTGCTTTGATGTCATTGAAGGTGTTAGCATACCCTATGCCTGTCTCACTGGGCATGGGGTTTCATATTTGATATCTAGCATCATGCATGTTTTTGAGAGACAACCTTTGAAACATTAGGAAGTTACATGTGTGAGAAGGCACACTGGCCCAAGGACATGTAGGAGACCTAGATAGTAGGTCTCCTACATGTCCTTGGGCCAGTGTGCCTTCTCACACATGTAACTTCCTAATGAGTTTGCTGATCCACTCCAACTCCCCCTCCACGGCTCTTTGGACCTCCTCTCACAGAGGAGATTGAGTGAGTCCCATCACAAAAACAACTAAAGACCATCTTCTACCCAACCCCATGCTGTGTTCCAAATCACCTTTCCTGTCCAGCTATCTTGGGGTTGTCTCAGATCCAATCATTGTTTGTCACTTCAAAGTCACCAGCCAATTTGGCCACTTCTATTCTGTGGGAAACCATCAAACCCTTGTTACATCATACAATAGCATCAAGCACCCTTTGAGAATATGAAATTGGATATAAATATCCACCCCACACAGGGCCATTGTGCACACAGTTGGTTGCCAAACCAGGTCTCTTTCAACAGACCAGAGTTCCTCTCTGTATAACCCTCGAATGCTGTCATTTCAGTGGACCTACCTTTAGAATTGGTAATTATCACCCCCTCTAATTCCTGACTTCTCACTATCCAACCTTCCAGTTGTTCCTTTCTGTTAGCCTTGTAGAGTTCTTGAGGTTTCATGACCTTTGCACACGTCTAAATAAAACTGGATTCACTCTGCAGTTAATACTAACATACATAGGTGAAAAGATCCCTGAAGTTACCATCCTCTTGCAGGCCTCCTTTTGAGCTAATAATTCTCCCCAAATACTAAGGAGACACTGACACTGTAGGTAGGGACCCCAAGTTCTCCCATCTTTTAGGGTAACAAAGGTAGCTTAGTCCTATGTTCTGCATTATCTGACATGTTGACAAATCAATTAAAAAAGAATTTTTAATAAAGATAGAAGAGGAGAGAGATTTCTACAGAAAATATGTATCAGTGGCTGGCATCCCATTACTTAGCTACCAGGTCGTAAGTTAGATCGGCAACCATTTAACTGTATCCTATTTATATTTAAAATCATGGTACCATTGCTATGACTGTAAGTGCCCCCCAAACTTACTTTAAAAACCAGTCAGCCATTCTGAATGATGGGGTTCTGTGGCACTGGCATGCAGGGTGCTACAGGATGACTGGATCATCTCCCTCCCATTAGTGAGTGATGGTGCAACAAAGAATTGTGACAGGATTCCCCAGGGGTCCCCTCCCTGCTTTCCTTTCACCAGTAAGTAATTACATTTTTATTTAAGTGATCTTTTAATGGTTAAGCAGGGAAGTTCTTATTTAGATGCATGTTTTATCTGTATTTAACTTTTGTATGATTTTAATTGATTTTATAATGTTTTAATGTGGAGATTTTAGATTGGTTTTAAAACTTTTTGTAAAAGTCCCCAGGATGGGACCCAAGGAGGCATCCAGAACAATAATTTTTTTCTAAAAGTTTTTTAATTTGTTGTTTTAGAAGCCTCCTTGGGTCCCATCCTGGGAGAAGGGCAATTAAATATATAACAAGTTGGAATGTGTCGAGAGGAGGGGTCTAAAATGGTGAAAGGTCTGGAAACCATGCCCTGTGAGGAGCAACTTAGAGAGCTGGGTATGTTTAGCCTGGAGAAGGGAAGGATAAGAGATGACATGATAGCCATATTTAAATATTTGAGGATGAAGCAAGCTTGTCTTCTGCTACTCCAGAGACTGGGACACAGAGCAATGAGTGCAACCTACAGGTAAAGATAGAAGAACTTAGGAAGAACTTTTTGACAGTAAAAGCTGTTTGACATTGGAACATGGTGCCTTGGAATGTGATGGAGTCTCTTCTTTGAAGGTTTTTAAACAGAGGATGGATTGGTTTCAGTTCATCTTTAGATCTATTTATATCTATCTTAAGATGGATTTAAGATGGAGGCATGGGTTATCTGTAGGGAGTATTTTGAATGGGTCTTCCTGCATGGCTGAAGGAGGTTGGACTGGATGGCCCTTGGGGTCTCTTCCAACACTATGATTTTATGATTCTATTTATATCTATCTTAAGATGGACTTATTACTTTATCGCTTGGCGTTTTAAAATGACTGAAGCCTCCTGGTCTGCAGCCAGGAGGTGGGATGGAGGTGGGGATTATCGCAAGCTAAATCGCCACCGAATCTCCAGCTACCATCAGCTCAAGTCCAAGCTGGGCTCAGCCAGTGCTTTTTAGAAACTGGAATGCTTTCCGGTTTCTAAAAAAACACCAACTGAGCCTGGCTGGGACCCGGTCTGATGGCGGCCACCGATTTGGTGGCTATTTAGCTTGCAATAATCCCCACCTCCCACTCTCAGCTGCAGCCTGGGAGGCTTGAGTAGTTTTAAAACACCAAATGATAAAGTCAAAAGTATTAGCAGAAGCCTGCATGTGGCTAGAAAAAAGCATGCAATGTTTTACTGTTACTAAAAATGTTTCCACCCCATAAGACAGTAGGAGTGAAGAGTCTGCCTTTAGGCTGGTTTTATCAAAAGCGAAAGAAAGAAAGAAAGAAAGAAAGAAAGAAAGAAAGAAAGAAAGAAAGAAAGAAAGAAAGCCAATCAGGGATAAGCTCTTAGTGTAATGCTTTTTGGTACTGAACCACCAAGCTTAACAGTCCAAGTGTCATCTCAGGGCTTTCTCAGCCAATTTATTGCAATTGATTCTGCCATAGAGGCCCAAATACTTCTAGACAGTCTAGAGGTCTTGCCTGATGGAGCATTTGTGATAAGTGGTATGTGATGCATTGTCCCCAGTTCACTGTCTGTTCCCTAACACATCCTGGCTAGGATGGCAGAGCCCAGTGCATGGAAAAATAACATTTATGAACTATAGCAATCAGACAGCTACAGCCACCGGCCCTGCTGGTTGTGGACTTTTTGGAACTGTGATTTTAAAACAAAACACAAAACCCCAAACAAAAGAGAACAAAATTCTGGCAGAGCCCAGCCTTTTGCAAGAAATAGGCCTTTGGATTTACACTTCAGTTTTCAGCAGA